ATATACCCCTCCCTGGGCTGCCACCTTACCGTGGTGGAGGGGTTTGAGTGTCCCAATGACCCTAGGAGCTATGCTGTCAGGGGTTTCACACCCCTAGTAGGGTCACCCAAGGCAGACAGGTCCTAGGTGAGGGACCAGACAAAGTGCAGCCCAAAAACCCTTATGATGAGAAAAATAAATGGACTTGATGTTCCCTCGCCCAGACGTGGGTCACCGGAGCCCCACTCTGGAGCCAGGCCTGGAGGTGGAGCAAGCGGGCGAGTGCCTGGGCTTTTACCCATGGAGCTGGGTCGGGCACAGCCCGAAGAGGAGACGTGGGTCCCGCTTCCCATGGGCTCACCCCCTGTGGGAGGGGCCAAAGGGGTCAGGTGCAATGTGGGATGGGTGGTGGCTAAGGGCGGGGACCTTGGAGGTCTGATCCTTGGCTACAGAAGCTGGCTATTGGGATGTGGAATGTCACCTCAATGGTGGAGAAGGAGCCTGAGCTGATGTGTGAGGTTGAGAGGTTCTGGCTAGAAATAGTCAGACTCACCTCTACGCATGGCTCTGGCTCTGGAACCAGTTTCCTTGAGAGGGGTTGGACACTCTTCCACTCTGGAGTTGCCCCTGGTGAGAGGCGCCAAGCAGGAGTGGGCATACTTGTTGCCCCCCATCTTGGTGCCTGTGTGTTGGGGTTCACCCCAGTGAATGAGAGGGTAGCCTCCCTCTGCCTACGTGTTGGGGGATGGGTTCTGATTGTCGTTTGTGCTTATGCACCAAACGGCAGCTCAGATTATCCACCCTTTTTGTAGTCCTTGGAGGGGGTACTGGAAAGTGCACCTCCTGGGGACTCCCTTGTTCTGCTGGGGGACTTCAGTGCTCACGTGGGCAATGACAGTGAGACCTGGAGGGGTGTGGTTGGGAGGAACGGCCCCCCTGATCTGAACCCGAGTGGTGTTCTGTTGTTGGACTTCTGTGTTCGTCATGGATTGTCCATAACAAACACCATGTTCAAGCATAAGGTTGTCCATATGTGCTCTTGGCACCAGGACACCCTAGGCCGCAATTCAATGATTGACTTTGTCGTCGTTTCATCTGATCTGCGGCCACATGTCTTGGACACTCAGGTGAAGAGAGGGGCGGAGCTGTCCACTGATCACTACCTGGTGGTGAGTTGGCTCCGATGGTGGGGGAGGACCTGGCAGGCCCAAACGTACTGTGAGTGTTTGCTAGGAACATCTGGCAGAGTCTCCTGTGAGACAGAGCTTTAATTCCCACCTCCGGGAGAACTTCAAACATGTTCCAGGGGAGGTAGGGGACATTGAGTCCGAGTGGGCAATGTTCCGTGCCTCTATTGTCGAGGCGGCTTACCGGAGCTGCAGCCGCAAGGTTGTCGTGCTTGTTACAGGGCGGCAACCCTCGAACCCGGTGGTGGACACCGGCAGTGAGGGATGCTGTCAGGCTGAAGAAGGAGTCCTATCGGGCCTTTTTGGCCTGCGGGACCCCGGAAGCAGCTGATGGGTACTGGCAGTCCAAGCAACATGCGACTCGGGTGGTCGCTGAGGCAAAAACTCGGGCATGGGAGGAGTTCGGAGAGGCCATGGAGAATGACTTCCGCATGGCTTCGAGGCAATTCTGGTCCACCATCCGGCGTCTCTGGGGGGAAAACAGTACACCACCAACACTGTTTATAGTGAGGGTGGTGTGCTGCTGATCTCAACTCGGGATGTCATGGGTCGGTGGGCGGAATACTTTGAAGACCTCCTCAATCCCACCGGCATATCTTTAACTGAGGAAGCAGAGCCTGTGGACTCTGGGTCAGGCCCTCCAATCTCTGGTGCTGAGGTCACCGAGGTGGTTAAAAAGCTCCTCGGTGGCAGGGCCCCAGGGGTGGATGAGATTCACCCAGAGTTCCTTAAGGCTCTGGATGTTGTAGGGTTGTGTTGGCTTACGCGACTCTGCAATATTGCATGGACATTGGGGGACGTTCCGCTGGATTGGCAGACCAGGGTGGTGTCCCCCTATTCAAAATGGGGGACCGTAGAGTGTGTTCCAACAACAGGGGGATCACGCTCTTAAGCCTCCCTGGTAAGGTCTATTTGGGGGTTCTGGAAAGGAGGGTCCGTTGGATAGTTGAATCTCGGATTCAGGAGGAGCAGTGCGGTTTTCATCCTGGCCGTGGAACACTGGGCCAGCTCTACACCCTCCCTGGAGGATGCGTGGGAGTTTGCCCAATCGGTCTACATGTGCTTTGTGGACTTGGAGAAGGCATTCGACCGCGTCCCTCGGGGAACCCTGTGGGGGGTACTCTGGGGGTATGGGGTATCAGGCCCTTTGATATGGACTGTTAGGTCCCTGTATGACCGGTGTCAGAGCCTGGTCCGCATTGCAGGCAGTAAGTCGGGCTCATTCCCGGTAAGAGTTGGACTCCGCCAAGGTTGCCCTTTGTCACCGATTCTGTTCATAACTTTTATGGACAGATCTAAAAAAGTTAAATCTGGTCCTCTGGACATTCAAAAAAACAAAACAAAGCAAAACAACAAAAAAATGTAGAAACGTTTTGTCTTTCATTCGAAAGACTTCCTCAGTCTGAGATGCTGTATTCAGCTCAGTCTTATAGATAGCACCTTCTCAGAGTGGATCAACCAGTTGTGCTGCTAACAACCAAAACCAGCTGCTCACACGATCAAGAAGGACCATCAGCCTAACGATGGATCATAAGCACACTGATGGCTGTTTACTATTCACAGAGGGCTGAGTGATACTAGCAATAACAGCATTGTAAGAGGGGGACAGTTGAACACAAAGGCCTCCACCCCTGTTTAATGATGGACGATTTCTTTTCACAAAGATGGCCTCCTTTACTCCTCTCTCAAACCATCGTTCCTTTCTCTGATTGGCAATGCTAAATTGTCCCTAGGTGTGAGTGAGAGAGTGAAGGGTCGTTTGTCTCTATGTGTCCCTGTAATGGACTTGCGACCCATCCAGGATGTACCCCGCCCCTCGCACAGTGATTGCTGGACATGGGCACCGGCGACCCCCATGACCCAAAATGGAAGAAGTGGGTAAAGATAATGGATGGATATATATATATATATATATATATATATATATATATATATACTCTCAAGGATGTGAACATCTTCATCCCTGAAAGAGTGACCGCTGGCCTGGAGATGAGTGTAGACTGCAGAGTCCTGGCCTGGTGTTGTTGCTCTTCTGTGTTGGGCCATCCTTTTGGCCAGTGGCTGTTTAGTTTCCCCAATGTGACTTATCACAGCCCTCCTGACACTGAACAGCATACTCAGTATTACTCTGTGCCGGGGGACTGGATCTTTGGGATGAACCAGTCTTTGAGCATGCATCAGGATATTTTATGAACAGAATTTTTAGGCGCAGCCAAGGTGTTGAGGGGATCCATTTTGGTGGCCTTAGAATCGCGTCTCTGCTTTTTGCAGATGATGTGATCCTGTTGGCTTCATCAGATCGTGATCTACAGCTTTCACTGGAGTGGTTCGCAGCCAAGTGCGACACAGCCAGAATGAAGATCAGTTCCTCCAAATCCAAGGCCATGGTCTTGAGCCAGAAAAGGGTAGAGTGCCCTCTCCGGGTCAGGGAGGAGGTCCTGCCCCAAGTGGAGGAGTTCAAGTACCTTGGGGTCTTGTTCACGAATGAGGGAAAAACAGAGCGTGAGATCGATAGGCGGATAGGTGCAGCGTTTGCAGTGAAGCCGGCGCTGTACAGGTCTGTTGTGGTGAAGAGAGAGCTGAGTCAAAAGGCGAAGCTCTCAATTTACCGATCAATCTCGTTCTTACCCTCATCTATGGTCATGAGCTTTGGGTTTTGAGCAAAAGAACGAGATCTCGGATACAAGCGGCCAAAATTAGTTTTCTCCGCTGTGTTTTTGGACTCTCCCTTAGAGATAGGGTGAGAAGCTCGATCATCTGGGAGAGACTCAGAGTAGAGCTGCTGCTTCTCCACGTCAAGAGGAGCCAGTTGAGGTGGCTTGGGCATCTGGTTAGGATGCCTCCTGGACGCCTCCCTGGTGAGGTGTTCCAGACACGTCCCACCGGGAGGAGACCCAGAGGAAGACCCAGGACATGCTGGAGGGACTATGTTTCTCGGCTGGCCTGAGAACGCCTCGGGATTCCCCCAGAGGAGCTGGACCATGTGGCTGGGGAGAGGGAAGTCTGGGCCTCCCTACTTAAGCTGCTAATCCCACGACCCAACCCCGGATAAGCGGAAGAAAATGGATGGATGGATGGATGGATGGATGGATGGATGGATTGATGGATGGATGGATGGGTGGGTGGCTGGACGGACGGACGGACGGACGGACAGACGGACAGATAGATAGATGGACCTTCGAATCTTTGACTTCTTATGCTCGCACCAGTTTTTAGTTGCATATATATCTTATCATTCATTACAGTTAGATTTTTCCCCATTTATCTTCATTAATCATATGTTTTTATTTATTTATTTACTGATAGATTGATTGTATAGTTTTTGCTTGAATCAAATAAAACAAAATCTTATTGTCCTATATGTTGTCATTTATCTCCAAATATGTTGGCCCACAGGTTCCTCTAATATGTGAGACCAAGATGCCAGTGAATGCTCCACCAATCATGAACTGCCACAACAAGAATGGCAACTATCGACCTCCTTCCTCAGGAATCAAAAACAAGCTCATCCCATCCGATGTAACCCGACTTATGCGGCTGGAGGAGGGCATTCGGCAGGTTCCAGACAGGAGGAAACCTCCGATTCCCCCAAGACATCTGAAGAAAGGGAAAGAACACTGCACTATTGACATGAATGGCCTTGAGACCAACGTGTAGCCTCCTTATATTATGTGTGCATTTCGGCTGATGGGAGCCGTGGAACAAAGGAAACGTGAAAAGCATCAATACTGTATTTCTAAGCTTAGTATTGATAGAACTTTTTTGTGAAAAGCCTTCCTAAAAGGTAAAGGGATTATCAAACAGACAAGACTGATTTGTATTTACACTCTCTGCCCTGAACTGAACTCAAACAAATCCTCATGAGAAAAAATCTATCTATCTATCCAACCACCCATCTATGGAAATATCTTTATTATGGTACATTTTTCCCACATGTGTATATAATTGAAGTGTTTAATATATTTTATACTACAGTTTATTAATGTATGTATTTATTTATTTATTTTCTTACAGTATTCTCAGTGTAAAAACCTTCTAAGTCATTTTTGCGATCCTCTGTGGTTTTGACCCAAGTGCAGGCAGACACGGAGAGCAGGAAGTACTGTAAATAAGCATAATTTATTAAACAAATTAAAATAAAAAAGCTGATGTGGCTGCAAAACTTACACAGATCATGAAACAAACAGGAACACAACAGGCTGAGGAAAATACGCAGAGGATCAGGACGTCTGTAGTATTACAGATAAATGAGCGGACGTTTGAGTGGTAAACAGGAGAGGTTTGAATAACAAAGAGGTAGAGAGAAAAGAGTGCACCTGGGATGATTACTGATTATGAACTGGTGTGAGTGATGGGTGGCTGAAGAGACTGACTGAAGAGAAGGTGAAGAAATGTCAGGGAACACAGTCAAACACAAGGATCAGAAAGGGAATTAAAAACAAAAGAAACACAACAGACAAAAGGACAGATTATGCCAATCATCAGTGTTTTACCTTTAGCAGACACTGATCAAAGCAAAGTGATTGACAATACATACACTATGTGTGTGCGTAAGCGGACATTTGCTTCGACTGGCTGGGTTTGAGAAGACAGGATGGAAAAACAGGAAATCACAGAATGGCAGGTCACAACATACTACTGGAGGAAAGACAAAAAAACATGTTAAGTATAGAAATCATTACAAATACAAACAGGTAGAGTAGAGCGAGCAAAGACAGCAGCAGAGGGAGGAAATGTGGTGAATTTGACCTCCAGCAGCCTAAGCCAATAGCAGCATAACTAAGGGATAGCTCAGGAAACCCAAGCTGACCCTAACTATAGGGTTTATCAAAAAATAAATATTTAAGCCTAATCTTAAAAGTAGACAATGTGTCATTCTCACAGACAGAATCTGGAAGTTGGTTCCACAAGAGAGGATCCTGATACAAGCTCTGCCTCCCATTCATCTTTTGGAAACTCTAGGAACCACAAGTAAACCTGCAGTCTGAGAATAAAGTGCTCTGTTAGGAAAGGATGGAACATACAATCTGTAATATAAGATGGAGCTAGGTTGTTGAGAGTTTTGTAGGTTAGAAATAAGATTTTAATTCTATTCTGAATTTGACAGGGAGCCAATGGAGATAAGCTAAAACTGGAGCATTGTGATCTCTCCTAATAACTCTCATTAAAATTCTGGAAACCACATTTTGGATCAACTGAAGGCTTTTAAAGAAGTTTTTGGACGCCCAGATAATAAACAATTGCAATAGTCCAGGCTGGACCTGACAAATGCATGGACCAGTTTTTCTGCATCAGTTTTGTATAATATGTTTCTAATTTTAGGGATATTATGCAGGTGGAGGAAAGAGGTCCTGGGAACTTTTTAAATGTGGGGATTCAAAGACGTACCCTGATCAAAAAATAACACCAAAGTTTTTTACATTTGAACTGGAGGCCAAATTAATGCCATCCAGAGGAATTGAAAGACAGCAAAGTTTATTCCTAAGATGTTCAGTTCCAAAAAACATGACATCTGTCTATTCTGAGTTTAAAAGCAGAAAATTAAAAGTCATCCAGTTTTTGTCTTTAAGACATGCTTGTAATCAATGTAATTGATTGGGTTCATTGAGTTTCATGGACAAATATAACTGTGTATCATCAGCATAACGATGAAAATGTATCCCTGTTAAGAGTATTGGTCCAAGCATTGAACCCTGAGGAACTCAATGACTAACTTTGGCGTCTAAAGAAGATTCATTATTTACATTTGCAAACTGGAATCTATCAAATAAACATGGTTTAAACCATTTTAGAGCTGTTTCTATAGTCCTGCAAACCAGATTTCAATCCACAGCAATGAGAGAAGGTTGGGACATTTGGTCCATTATCATTATTATTATTATTATTATTATTATTATTATAAAATACATTTATTATGACATTTGTAAATTAGCGAGGGGTTGTGACAGAGGGTCAGTTGCAAACTGTATACTGCAGTGGTTCCACAAAGGTAGAATACAGTCCATGTCATCACATATTTGTGTGGGTTAAGAACGTCTAAACAAAGTAATGAACTATATGGTGCAAAACAGATTTGGTGGTATAAAGAAACACTCCACTAAGGGGCCATCCACTGAAGAATGGTAAATTGTGGATGCGCAAAATGTATTTAGTGTTTCATCTTTGAATCCACATGAAAATGGCTTTTTAAGTGCATTGAAAAAGTGCTTTTGGAAAATGGGTTCCAGAGTCAAGAGGTCTTGTGTGAACAGACAAAATGCAACCTTCTTAAAAACGCTGATCTAATCAACAACTCAAGTATGTTGCTGATGTTACACAACTTGGTTACTCAGCTACAGCAAAATCTTCATCTCCTGTATTGTTTTAAGTAGCAGACAACACTCATAAACAAAAACATGCGCCACATATTTGGCTCAACAAATAAGAACTAGACGGGTAAGAAGGAGAAGGGTTTTGTTGTGTACAGTTTGAATGTAAGCTTTCTGTGCTGCTTCATGCCTTGTTTCCTGATTTGGGTGTGTTTCTGTATCAGCGTTACTATGCCACATTTAAGTCTGGCGTAGCTAACATAGCATTTTGAGTTGGAGTTTCTGTATGAATTAATACATGTTTAGAAATGGTATCTCATTCATGAGGGTATTTTTAGAAACAAAAAAGAAAATTGTGTTTCTGTGGGGACAAGGCCCAAGTCTCCTGAACCACTGCTGTGTAAGTGAGTTTTGAGTTAGATGGAAAAACTTTGCTCATCTGTGGTTTCCATCCTGCTAACTTAATTGGCTTTCCATTTTTAGAAAAATTGACCTTTGTGATCAATATTCACTATTAATCCAACCTAAACCAGTAATTTCTCCTGTCATTGATCCAGCAAGTTCCGAGAGGTTCAAGGTCTGCTTCCACCTATTTGACTCGAACCAGAGTCAGTGCGCGACCTTCGCAGGCCCTCTGGATGAATAGGATTTTAAACTGTGCTTTGTCTCAGTGGGAAGAGGTCAGGAAACAAATTAGATAGAGGAAGCTCAGACAAGCCTCCATCGTGCCTCGGTCCTTCCTGCCAAAGCAGGCAACACAGGTAAGGTCCTGGCGTGCTCCTCATACTCCCCCTCAGGAGTTATTTGGCAGCATACAGGTTGGGATGTCACACTTGGACCTTGATCTCTACCTCTGCACGTGCCCTTTGTGGTACCAAACAAAGAACCCAGAAGAAAAAAAGTTAAAAGTAACTCACTTAGGACTCACCCAGGAGCAAAAGTTTCAATTTTATGCATGGAGGCAAAAAATTGATAAAAATGTGTATGAAATAAAAAAGGTGTTGTACACTTAAAATTTATATTCAGTGTTGGTTATATAAAATCCAAAGGAAAAATCTAAAGTGTAACACAATCTACAACTACATCCTACTCACACGCTGACTACCTCTTTCTCTAACCTCCTAAAAATAAAAAACAAGAAACTAAATTAAATTAGTAAATGTAGCAGTAGTTAAAGTAAATGCAGGTCCTCTAAAGCCTCCCACCACCCCTGGGCCAAAATGACCCAAGATTTACAGGAGGGAATTCAGGGTGCATTCCAACTGCCCTGTTGTCCCGAACTCTAGTCCGTTTACCTAGAAAGTCCGGTTCATTTGGGGAGGTGTGAACGCGCCATCGAACTCTGTCATGGAACAAAAAGGCGAACTCTGGCCCGGTCTTAAACCTAGGTCTCGGTCCAGTAGAAGAAAACCCCAATGCGGTTCGAGTACAGTGTGAATGTAAACAGACCGGGCCCAGCTCCACAAGCAAGAAGTGGAATACAGCGCAGGGCAAACAAACACGCATTTCTCTTACCTCATATTGAGCCGTCAGCTGCCTTGTGTGAAAAACAATATTCTCCATGGTCTTCTGCATCATCTTCCACTCATGCTGAGTCCATTTTTGAAAAATGACAAAGTATAACTCCTAAAACTGCTAAAATTTGACGCCACTCCGTTTTTGTTTTTATTTCCAGAAAAAGAAGAAGTGTCTTCTTCAGAGGTTTTTGTGTCGTTTCTTTCAGTTGTTCTTGGTGCAACGCCACCACAGGCAAGTGGGGGAACAGGTTGGTTCAACAGGTTGTCTCGACTGCACAGTGCAGTGTGAATGCAAACGCACCAGCTCAAATGGTCCCCAACCGAACCGAGTCTACCGGACTATCAGGTGTGAAAACAACCTTACTGTCCAAATCTAAGAGCAAAAAGTCGCAAGAACCTCAAACTAGTCCCCAGAAAAATCCCCAGCTCTGTTGTGCATAAGCTTTTTATAATCTACAGTCATAATTATGCATACACAGATAAAACATACATACTCTTACTTGATGTCTCAAACAAAGAGGACCAACTAGAATTACATAGTGTCATATGATTATTCAAAAAGGATAGGGTTACAGACACCTCCTTTCTCTGGCTATGAAAAAAGAAAAAGTTACACTTTAAACACACAAAGACAAAATTATTCTTCTTTTCAGTCTCTGCGTTTCTTCCGGTCCAACTTGTTATCTTGAACAGTGAGACGTACCAGAAGAACTATGAAGGTAGACTTGGAAATTCAAGCAAAGGCTGCCTGACCCAACATAACTGTTATCTGAATTTGGCTTCCCTGGTCATACTTGAATTGGCCGAGTGGTGAAACTCAAACTTCTCCAGGTTGTTTACGTGAACAAGAAGCTCTGCTCCCCCCACCCTCACCTATCACTCCCCTCCCAAGAACATCTGTGGATCTGTGTCAGAGTTGAGATGGCTGATTGACATGCCATCTCTTATCAGGACTATGGAACTCTCTGGCAGTTTCCACAGACAACTCAATGCCCTCGTCGGCCTCCTCATGCATAAATGTATTATGATGTCATTAGTATGTTGCTGTTTATGTGCTGAGGTAATTTTTTTTTTGCAACTTTCACACTGTGTCCCATCTAGGACACAGAGCGAGATTTGATATATATATATTTTTACACCTCCACTCCCCTTCATGTTTCTTTTCCTTATCTGAAAAAAGGCTGCGCCTCTCGAGGTCGGCGGCCTCAGTCACCTCCATCTCCCCGTGTCTGTTTATGATTGTCTCGGATGGGCTGTACTGAATCAGAATCAGAATTAGAATCAGAATAAGCTTTATTATCATTGCATCGAGATACAACGAGAATATGTATGTACAGCTGTCCGAAAGATGGACGGAGTGCACAAAGCTGCTGCTATAAGTGCGGCCTTCTTATTCTTTTCAGAATACAATTTTTAGATAGAAAAAGGGACAAATGCATGAGGAGAGGATAGTGGCATTACAAAAAGGATCTCTTCACACCTTGTCCTAACAGGACACGATTTAAGACATCAAAAAACTCTGCCAGCCAAGCACATTTATGAACATGTTACATATGCATTTACGACAAGGAGGTCCATGAAGCACTAACAGATAGTCCATTGTCCTGATAAGATGATGGTCAGCCGGCACAGTTCTGACAAGCCTTCACAGAAGGGGATGGGGAGCGGGGTTGCGATAGACAAAGCTTTTCCTTAATTTACACATTTCCCAGGAGAAATTGATAAGTCCGCCTGTTCGAGGCCACGGGAGTCCAATTCATATAACCACAATTGTTGATTTATTCAGGCAGACTATTTTTCCATCAGCCTTGAGTCTGTACTGATACTTCCAAGGTCTGAAATGGCCAGATTAGGTAGCATTCCGCTGGTCCATGCTTACGAGCCTCTTCAAGGTCATGTTCATGCTGATGAGTCCCACAGCCGCAGGTGATCTGCAATTCAAATCCCTTCCAAATGTAATTTGATGCAATGTATGTAT